TAATGAGGTACACATGGTGCTGAAAGAAGTGAATTACTACTTCACACGTACAGATATCCTTTGCTCCCTCAGCACCAAAAGGTTGTTTTCTGAAGAACCCCATGTGAATGCTAAAGTCAGTAAATTCTGACGCTGCTTATGGTTTTCAGATCGTGTCCCCGGTGCACAAAGAGAAAAGTTATGAATGTGTTTGTCTCTTTTAAGCCCTCAGACAACCTTTTGGTTTGTCTTTGAGGAGAAACGTGATAAAATGCATGATTTCCAGAGTATTGCCCCCTTTTTGGGATCGAGGGACAAATGGAGGAATGCAATATGAATGGATTGGTGGCAAACCACACACACGCAGATGACTGAAGACCGAAATGAGCACTCGACATAGTCACTAGTTTGACTAATTGGTAACATAACTATCCCAAACATACATTTAAATGAACTTTGCACGCACATTAATTCTTAATAATCGGTTTAGCATTTAACCGAACACATGATGTGTGTTCGGTTAAATGCTTCGCTGCTCATCCGTTTGCACTGGCTGCCAGTTGCTGCTCGCATCAAATTCAAAGCTCTGATGTTTGTTTACAAAGCGACTGCTGGATTTGCTTCTTCTTATCTGCTCTCACTTTTGCAGATTTATGAGCCCTCCAGAAACTTGCGTTCTGTGTATAAACGTCGCCTCGTGGTTCCATCATAAAGAGGGAAGAAATCACTTTCCCGAACTCTCGCTTTCAATCTGCCCAGTTGGTGGAATGAATTCATTAACTGCATCAGAACGAAAGAAACGACTCAAGAAACGACTAAAAACTCAACTATTTAGTCTTCACTTCCCATCCTAATCTGTATTGCCTCTCTGGTTCTACCGCTAACTGTATTACAATAAATAAATAAATAAATAAAATAAAAAACTAATGTTTTGCTTCTTACACTTTACATTCCTGAAACTTGCCTACAGCACTTATTCATTCTTGCTCTTTTAGTTGTGTAAATTGCTTTCTTGTCCTCATTTGTATGTCACTTTGGATAAAAGTGTCTGCTAAATGACTAAATGTAAATGTGTGGTTTAAGCAACAGGATTCTTTGGTGATTGTCAAAGACACCAATTTAAAAGGTCAATTAATTCAATTCCCTGTGTCCAACTAATGAAAACACAGAAATGGGATTTATTTATTAGGAAAACACACAGCCTTTTTAGTTTGCATGTTTTGAAATGCGAAATCTTTTCAGAAAACTCTCCAGAATTTCACACTTAATGTATTTAAGATGCCTGAGACAGAAATGCTCTCTAGAGATGATGGTGTCATCGGCACATTATAACTGGAGATAAAAAGCCATAAAACACTTTCATTTTGAGCTACAGAGTCACGAACAGTCACACTATTATTTTCTTGTTCACACATTGATTTCTTTTTTTGTCATTCTGTTTCAACTCAAGTTTATTTGTATAGCACTTTATATCAGTAACACTTTAGTGTAGGTCCCAATTCATGCTATTAATCTTGGCTTATTACCTGCCTGTTATTAAAATATGAACTGGTCATAGTTATAAAGTATGATCTTATTCTGCATCCCTAATCCTACACTGTAAAACCAGACAGTCAATTTTATCAAATGAAATGAGTGTAGTTAACTCAAAATTGACTGAAAGTTAATTCTACTCATTTGAAAAGAGTTTTGAACTCAGTGTTTAGGGTAATGAGTTAATTAAATACTGTACCTCAGAGCAAGTTCACAACACTCATATAGAAAGTTTTTTTACTCAAATGGTTTGTTGCAATCGATTTCCTCAAACAGTTTGAGTTGCCTTAAGTTATTGGGTTTTACAGTTCTCTGCTGGTTTGAGTTCTCTTCATTTATTGGGTTTTACTGTGCTCAAATTGCTTCATTTACTCAAAAGGATTAATTTCACAGTACTCACTGGGATTAGTTTTTGAACTTAAATGGTTTGTTGCAGTTTTCTCAAATGGTTTGAGTTACCTTAAGTTTTGTGGTTTTACAGTTTACCCAAAATCTTAACCACTAACTTTTAATAACTATGAATAAATAGCTAATTAGTAGTTAATTAAGCTAGTAGTGTTAGTTAATGGTTTGTTAACACTGTGAATTGTGACCTAAACTAAAGTGCTACCCACTTTTCACAATATTTATTGTTATAAAGCAGCTTTACAAAAGGTGCACATGATTGCATTATAAGCAAAATCAGAAGAGTTAAGGAGTTGTGTATAGGGCGGACATTATATATGATCATAGTTAACCTGTAGTTATATAACATATAGCTGTGGTTCCCAAAGTGGGGGACAACTGGGGGTCACTTGGTGATTTCCAAAGGTCAAATAAATTTGATTAAACTATTAAAATTACCATATTTTAACATGCAGAAGATAAAAATAGTAGTCTTAAAAAAGTAACAATATGCAAATAAAAAGCCATCAGCCTTTAATTTTTTCCATAGGATTGGGGTGTTTACATAAGATTCACAACACATCAATAGTGTCAGCTGCAGCAGACTGATTTTATAGCATCAGGTTAAACTTTTTGACACCTTTATGGCAGTCAAATACATTAAAAATAAATACAAACTGAACATTAAGGATGATCTCTGAGTGGCGGTCTCTAAAATCAAACCAAGAATAGATTAGCCACAATTTGAAGCCACAAGCCATGTCACCCTGCAGCCCAAGAACGGTTACTAACTGAAGCTAAGCAGGGCTGAGCCTGGTCAGTACCTGGATGGGAGACCACTAGGGAACACTAGGTTGCTGTTGGAAGTGGTGTTAGTGTGGCCAGCAGGGGGCACTCAACCTGTGGTCTGTGTGAGTCCTAATGCCCCAGTAAAAGTGAAGGGGACACTTTGGATGAGAAGTTAAACCGAGGTCCTGACTCTCTGTGGTCATAAAAAATCCCATGGCATTTCTCGTGAAAGAGCAGGGGTGTAACCCCAGTGTCCTGGCCAAAGTTCCTCTATCGGCCCTTACGATCATGGCCTCCCAATCATCCCCTTCCACTGAATTGGCTCGATCACTGTCTCTGCACTCCACCAATAGCTGGTGTGTGGTTAGCGCACTGGCGTTGTTGTCATCCAAGTGGATGCTGCACACTGGTGGTGGTGTAGAGAGACCCCCCTCATGATTATAAAGCGCTTTGGGTGTATGGCCATACACAATAAATGCGCTATATAAATACACACGTTACATTACATTTGTGCTGAAAACACTGTGCCCACTGGGCTCATTATGTGAGGCTAATAATAAATTATTGTAGCCTATTTTTGTTAGACCATTGTGCAGTGTGGAACATTTGTATATTTAGACTCACCTCCAAAGAATTTGGGGCTTGCGAGTCACTGGAATTGTTATTTTGCGGTAGTTGGCTGAAAAGTTAAGGAACCCCTGGTATATAGTGTCGAACATATGTGTATACGTTCAATAAAGTTTATTTGTGTATTAAGTGTTTGTGTTGTCCTCAGAGCATCCTTTTCAGTAGTATACTCTTAATAAATATCCTTGCGCTAACTACTCTGTTAAGAGAGGAATGTGTGAAAATATGTGTGAGGAAATGTGCAGCATGCTTTTCTCTTAATACCCAAACCAGAACATGAGAAACAGACATAATGCTGATCACATTACTGTGCAACTGACAATGAAATTGAACATTCCAGTCAAGTCCCATCACATCACGTTTATTTATGAGCCACTTTATACACTAAGCAACAGTGTCTGTCTTACTTTTAATTAGAATCTAACCAGTAGATTATGCATGTTCACATTACTTGTGTCCTATCCCCTAATGGACTGAATACAAGAAATAATCACCACTGAACAAAGGTATTTACTAGCTGTATCTTTTCCAGAAAGTTTGTTTTAAAAAGGTGTTTTGAAACAAACTCCAAATAAATTTACCCTTTAAAAGCAATTAGTTACTTTACAGTACTTAAAAAAGTGAGTAAAGCCATTGTAACCTAGAACTATTAAGTTGACTTAATTTTTTAAATCATACACATGCAGTCGTTGATTTACTTTCATTTTAAGGCAACAGGTTTACTCACTTTAAGTAAAGTCAACTAATGGTTTTGCCTTATTTTGTTCAAAATTACATGGCATTAAGTCATTTTTTTTATTTTGCTTTAATAAATTGAGGCTTTTAAACAAGATATGTAAAGTTGTCAATGAAAAATTAACGAAAGAATATTAAAACCTTTTAATCATTCAATTTATTTATCTACTTAAATGTGCATAAATATGTATTTATTTAGTTTTTATATTAATTTTAACAATATTATTAAATAATATTCAAATGTTTAGATGATTTATGCACATTTATGTACCGTTTACAGTTGGTAAATAAAATACATGAGAGACTTACTAAAGTTTGCTTCCCAAAAAAGTGGTTCTAATTAAATTTGCGCCTTTAAAAAAAAGTTTAAATGTTGTTATTAATAATTCCATGCATTATCTTTCAGCTCCTCTAAAAATCATTCTGCTAAAATCTACATTTTATTTATTTTACTTATTTTTAATCTATCCATAATCAAACTATTTGTAAGCCTTTATAAAATAGTAATCACCAGTAAAACATTCTAATTAGTCAGCTAACATGAAATGTCTCTATATAAACACAGATACATAGAAACAGAAATCTGCTGTGATCCTGTATAACAGTGAGTCTAGAATCAGTGCAGTTGGCTTGCGCTAAAATCTATACATCTTCAAGACAGAAGGTGCCACACTGGCTTGAGTTGATGAAGTGAATCTAAGATAGAAGCACAAACTTCAATTTGAGTTGTTGTTTTTTTTTCAGCTCTCAAGACTTATTTATATATAAAAAAAATCCACAGACCCTCTTGTGGGCTACAAGAAACACTCTAAATCCTGCTTAAAATACTAAATACTGCTTAAAATACTCAAACTTCATAAGAATGCAGACAAATTCCTCTCTTTGACAGATGTGTATAGTAAGTGTGTGTTGATGAGTTTAGAGGAGGAATTAGAGATAATGTGTGTTCTTACCTGCACAAAACTGCACATCACATACTCATCAAACATTGGCAGACTGGGCCGGCTTTCGCGGTATATGTTTAGAGTGTATATCGTCATGACGACAGGCTCGGCCTCTGATTCGTCCATCACCAGAATGTTGATTCTGCTGTTGCCCAGGCCAACTGGGTAATTCGCCATCCTGAAGGAAACAGAGAAAAATAGTCAGCGTACCCGATCACATATGCACACACACACACACACGCACACCTTTCACTTTTAGGGTTATTCATGTCGTGACAGAGGAGGAGGATTACTGTGGATTAGAACTGGGTCCCTGCCAACAGATGACCCCACAGTCATGGACAAATAAGACTGTGCTTTAAAAAAACCTTGAGAAAGACGACAGTCCCGACTGCCTTTAGATGGATCAGTTAAATAGATCTATTAACTTAACCATTTATTCTTGCTACAATGTAAGATGTGATCTAAACCATTAAAAATACTTTTATTTGTACAATTTTATTAAATCAGAATGAGAGAGAGAGAATTTTGAGTTCATTGCCATATCAGCTTTGGTGGCTGTGTCACGGCAAAAAAAAAAGATCAAGTTTACCACATTTTATAAATACCAATTTTCTATAATTATAAAAATATTCTAACAATTAAATGTAAATACACAAGATTAAAATACATAAATAATAATAATGATAATATATAAGATCATATATAAGAATATATCAAATCTAAGGTTTAATTTTGATAAAAATGGGACAATTTTAGAAGGATTTAAATCAGGATAAATTTGTCATATTTAATAAATACCCGTAAACATACACATTCATATTCTGCAGTATTATTATTTTTATATATTATTAGCATTTCAAATGTGAACTTTGCATACACCCCTCACAAATCTATCTTTTAAATTTATATTTTTAATAGGAAGCAATTTAATATTATATTAGTGCATATACATTAGATTAGTCAGTACTGAAGCCAAATCTGGAGCTAATCTAACAAAATTACTTATGATAACGGTCCACAAACTAGTATAGCCAAATTTATATGTTATAGAAAAATATTAAATACAAATATATGAAGAGAAAAAAAATCAAGAGAAGCAGAAAGATTGAAAAATTTAGCTGAAATTTAAATTTTTGCAATATTTTGCTTGAATTTAAATGTCATCTTTTAGTTTCTTAATATGTTTGGTGACTAAAATATTATTTTAATAAATTAATCAGTTTAATTATTCTGTTTTGTTTTTCATGCATCAACATACATTGAATATATTGACTGAGAAATGAATCAAAATATTAATTTTCAAAATGATGGTGAGCAATTATGCTGAGCACTATATGTATTTATTTTTTGTTATTGTTATTCTTTCTTAAAATATATGTTTTAAAGCATTTGTGTATTAGTTTTAGATATATTATCACTTCAGCATGTAAAAATCCAGCACACCATACAGCAGTTAAAGTATTTAATATTACATTAAATACTTTATATTAATATTCATCACATTCATATGTGAATATCTCAGCTTTTTCCAATTACAAATAATAAATAAAACAAAATAAACCTAAATAATTTAATCTAAAGTTTAAGTTAAATAAAGTGCTCAACTTCTTAGTATTTGCCAGCTATTTCTTCTTTTAAAATACAAACTATTTCTTTATTAAAACCTACTTATGCCGCGGCCCCACTGTCTGAGAGGTCAGAGTCAGCTTTAAATATCTTGCTTTTTTCTCCATCTGAAAGTATTAGAGATTACAGGCTGTAACAGAGGCTAATGGACTGTAATCAGGGATTTTGCATTTGTGTGTGTGGCTCGCCAGGCATGGGAAAGCAGATTCAAAAATTAATCTGATAAATCAATCAAACGGTGTAGCGAGTTTGAGCTGACACATAAGAAGCCAGATCTGATTACCTTGAAAAAGGCAGCGACGGCACAATCATACTACAGACTCTTTGTTCATTGTTTCCCAGCTCAAGCTGCTGTGTTTTACAACACTCGCCGCAAAGTCCACTCAAACTATGTTTTTACCAATTAGATGTTATTCCACAAAAACAAATCTCTTATGTTAAACGACTGGCAAATTTTAACTGCTCAGTTTGACAGTCTCAGTTTGTTTTATACTCTTTGTGTTGGGTTTACCTGGGTCCGCGATGTTCATCCAGGTGAATGTGACAATGTGGCATGACTGGTTCGGGCCGGATCTGAATTGTGATCACATCAAATGGGACTTCAGCTCGATATTCCTTCACCCATGCGCTAAACGCTGGCATCAGCACCATTGGAGGGTCTGTGTAAAGCTGCCTCAGATGTGAATCAACACACCTGCCTGAAAAACAGCAGTACGGAAAATGTCACACTGATTACCAACACTTGAAAGTGTATTTTATTAGGGCAAGATTCTCAAGGTGAATATAGTAAATCTAATAATAATAATAACAGTTCATAAATTTAGGACAAAGACAAGGATTTAAAACTAAGACAAGATTTAATAAAAAATGATTTTAAAGCTATAATAAACTACATACATGCAGAACAGACTGTCCAAGTCAGTTGGCCTGATTGGGTAGCTTTGCATGAACAAAGGAAAATTAAGACCCTTTTAAAATGATTTACTTTCAGCGAGACGGGTTTTTTTTTTCCAAATATATATTTTTTATTGAACATTTTTAGTGCAAAAGTAGAAAAATAATATCTGTCATACATGTCATTTGAGTTCTGACCCCCATATGAAAAAAAAAAAATAATAATAGTAAATAAAATTAAATTGTAATTAAATAAACAATAAATAAATAATAATAATAACACTAATAATAAAAATAATAATGACAAAAAATACAAAGTTAGATTGCAAAAAGGCATATTACATTTCTTTTGTCTAAGCTGAGTTTAACAGACAAGCTTTTAGAGACTTAAAGGCTCCTATATAATCAAAGAAAGGTTCCCAGGTCCAATAAAATAGAAAAGGTTAGTTCTTCATAGTTGTGGAGAAAGCCTCAAGTGGAATTATGCTGCAGACTGCAAGCAGCCATTGATTTAAACTGGGCAATTTAAGATGTTTTAAAGCCTACATTTTTTTTTTTAGACCTTTTAAGACCCTGCAGATACCCTGAACTCATGAATAAGCTTTTTATCTGTTATTTATTTATTTGTTTTTACTGAGATTCCTTCACTCGTGCATTAAACACTGGCATCAGCCAGCACCTGCCTAAAAAAACAGCAGTACAGAACATTTAATACTGATTATCAACACTTCAATAAAGTGCATTTTATTAAGGTAGGATACTATTGGTGAAGGGGGTAAATCTAATAATAATAATAATAATAATAATAATAATAATAATAATAATAATAATAATAATAATAATAACAATAATAATAATAATAATAATAATAATAATAACAATAATAATAATAATAGTAATAATAATAATAATAATAATAATAGTTAGTTTAACATTTTTGTACAACATGAATTGTAAATTCATGCATTATTAAATTATATATGTGAAGATTTGCAATCACTTCTAGCTTGAATACTTCTGGCCTATAGGTTTTTGAACATATCAGAGCAAAAGGTTTTTGCAAAGGGGATTTTTGGTGTCTCTTTTTATCACTATATAAATCAGAAAATACTGCAAACAGATATTTTTTTCAAAGGTTTGTTTGCATTGCAGACAAAAAAATGTTGTAATATATATAACCAGGCGAATTATGCATAAACATATCCCTCTGTTAATGAATTAAACTGTAAAGTCTAACGACCACAAGAGCTGCTGACGTGGAGATTTATGGCTCAGTGCAGTGAGAAATAAAAAATGAGAAGTTGACCTTCAGGATATGTTTTGACACAAACTGATAAAGTGGGATCAAAAAGCACACAGTTTGTATGTACAGTTTGTAAAACATGATGTATGCTTGCTTGATACTTAAGAATCAATGAAGATTACTCTTGTGTGTCACATGCACACTTCTTTATGAGCAATTTGGGTGAACAGACTTCAAACACAGGCATATAAATCTCTCAGATTTGATTACAAATATTTTATTTTGGGTTCTGATGTAAAACAAAGCTCTTATAGGGATGGGCAGGACATGAGGCTGAGTAAACGATGACATACTTTTAATTCCAGGGTGAATAAATACATAATAAAAACAGCTGGTTCTTTGTATATAAAAAAAATCCAGCATAGATCTTCTAGTCAGACTAATAAGTTACCACATGCTACTTGCCTTTTCCTGACAGTAATTCTGATGCCTCTGGGCTCCTTGAGTCGTCCAAGCTATTGGAAATAAAGAAGACAGTGATTTTTACTTAAAATCTAAAATGTTGATTGGAAGGAAGAAGTGTTAACAGACTTTTTCCGGGAATATCATAAGTGAGCCTTTAATGCCTCCACTTCTTAACATATAAAAACAATCAGTGCTGGCCTGACAAATTCTCTTAATTTGTTGGAAAGACTCTAAATGATAACGATTCGTTCTGCAATCATTCCTCGATTTAATAGGATGCACAAATATGGTTATATCATTGCAATCCCCAGCCAACCAGATGCAGACAATTTCACATCATCTAACAAGCACACAAACCCAAACCTCACAGACAACAAGACCTTACATGACTCAAAGGGTTTTTGCAGGTTTTACCAAATCAAATGTAAGACATTTAAGACCATTATTAATGAAATTTCAGACTTATACAGGGATCAATGTTAAGGATTTTTTGGGTCAGTGAAAAATATTTTATGTCAAAAAATCAAATGAGACATTTCTTACCCACATATTTTAAATGATGTGTCAAAACAAGCAAACTCTAGTTGTATATACACATTTTTTAATGTAACTTTTCTTTAAACAAAAAACACTATATTTAAAAACTGTATTAAATCAAATAAGTGCACAACAGTCTGTCCAGGTCAGTTTCCTCACTATATATGATCAGTACATGAAGAACAAATATTATTGTAAGAACGACAATTAAACCATAGTGGTAAATGTAGTTAATCAATAAAGTTTGGTTGAAAGTTGCATTGAGGTTGTTGGTGATTGGATGGGCGTTGGCCTGATTGGGTAGCTTCACATGGACAAAGGAAAATTAAGACCCTCTTAAAATGATTTATTTTGTGAGAATTTGTGACTTTTTAAGGCCAGAAAATAATTATTTTTGAAGTTTAAGACATTTCAAAGATTTTTTTTTAAAACCCCATAGACACCCTGGACTCAAGAATAAGCTTTTTAACTTTTGTTTGCATTTATTTGTACTTGTCCTGACTATATTTTCAATGACAAAATGACGAAACAAACCAATACAAAACTTAAAAGGAAAAAAAAATAATTATTTTAAATTACAGAAAAACAAAAATAAAAAATTGTTATAAATGTATTTTATTATTAATATAAATAAATAAAAATAAATAAATAAATAAACAAGAAAAATTAAAATAAATAAGATAAATAATTAAAATAAATAAGAAAAATAATTAAAAATATATAAATAAATAAAAGAAAAATAGAAAAATATAAATAAATTAATTAAATATAAATAAATAAAATAAGAAACATAAATTCAAAATATTTACAAAATAAATAAATAAAAAATATATAAATAATAAATAAATAAATAAAATAAATAAGACAACAAACAAACAAACAAACAAACAAACAAACAAATAAATAAATAAATAAATAAATAAATAAGACAACAAACAAACAAACAAACAAACAAATAAATAAATAAATAAATAAATAAATAAATAAATAAATAAATAAATACATGTATGAATGAAAACAATCAGTCAGCATCTCTGGATTTTCCCAGGTTTCTAAACAAAGACAGATAGTGTGACATAATGAGAAATTAAAGTAAAACTAATTAAATACATAAACGCAAACCAAAATCAAGAGGTTTGGGACTTATTGTGTGAGAGAGACTTTTAAGAACAAATGTTTAGACTGGACGGCAGTTGAACCCAGAGCCCCCGGTGCTTAAATCAACGGGACCCTTGCCTTATTTTTTTCACACCTGCAGCATAACTCATCTGATTACCGGTGAAACAATACGGCGTGATGACACGATCGAGGGAATCTGTTGTATTGTGTAAGTCTAACCTTTCAGTCTGATGTCTTGTCGTGTAGTAAAGACTGAGCTTTTGGAGCAGAGCCATGAGAGCTGGTCTCCATCCATAATCCTGTGCGCTGAGGGGCTTTTTCTGGATTAGATCATCAGCAGGAGGAGATACAGGATACAGCTGCCAAAAAAACACACACACACACACACACACACATACATACACTAAATTTATTTAACAGACAAAGATGCACAACAGGGACAGATTAATAATGTGAGCGTTTTATATCGGAAAGAGCTTTCAAATATGTATTAGACTTAGGATGAAGTCAATTCAGGAAAGATTTGAAGTCATATGTTGTTTTACCAGCTGAAAGGGTCCTGGATTTCTGAGGTGCCGATTGAACTGCACCAGTAAATGCATCTCATCTGGAGGCAGACAGAGAGTGTTTGGTTCCTCACAGCCAGCATACTGAAGGGAAAGTTGAACAATAAAATCAAGCTTATTGATATGCATTAAAACACTGTAGTGCATTTCACCAAGCAATAAAGAAGAAAACGAAGTTCAAGCAAATAAGCATAATTTGGCTGTTTACAAAATACAGGAAATGACTGATTTGACATTTTAATACCCTTTTTATTAAACGGGCCTCATGCATGAAACACAAGCAAAACAAATTTCTTTGTGAACCATTTTTGGAACAGAACTGAATGCACCAATTAATGTAGGTCCAGCTTCAAAACATTTCTTCTGCTTGTGTTTCCCATATTTAAATATTGTATACATATACTTGAATTTTGTAAACTCAGATAAACAGACTGTTATAGCATTGGACCAAATAAATGATTATGTATTTAACATTGGGGTGATTCATTGAAACAAAGTTTACCTCAAGTTTTCAAGTAATTATTTTAAATACAGGAATATCTTAAATTTTGTAACTTTTTAAAAAATTATTATTATTATTTTATATTGCTATAAGCAAAATAGACTTTAAAGGGGAAAAATGCTGATATTTATTTGACAGCAAATTTAAATGGTTCCAAATTGATGCTTTTATTTGGTAATTTAACTACTTTTACTACTACTATTGTTATATTGTTATATTAATAACAATACAATTAATTTAAAAAATCTGTAATAAGACACATTTTTACCCTCAAAAAGACTGTTTGGATATTTTAACTATCAATTAAAAATAAATAAATAAATAAATAAATAAATAAATAAATAAATAAATAAATAAATAAATAAATAAATAATAAAAAACAATAAAAAACATGGCATTTTTAAACACAAAAAATAAAATGAAAAAGTAAAAATAACATAATAAAATATGTAATGATGTAAAAAAATTAAATATGAAATGATGTAAATATAAACTAAAAATAAAAAATAAAATAAAGTAATGATGTAAAAATACAATAAAATAAAATATATAATGATGTAAAAATGAAATTAAAATAAAATAAAACATGTAATGTAAAAATAAAATAAATAAATAAAATATGTAATGATGAAAAAAATAAAATAAAAAACAAAATAAAATATGTAATAATTTAAAAATAAAATTAAAATAAAATAAAATATGTAACAATGTAACAATAAAATAAAATAAAATATGTAATGATGTAAAAATAAAAATAAAATAAAATATGTATTGTAAAAAATATTAAAATAAAATAAAATATGTAATGATATAAAAAATAACTAAAAATATGTAATCATGTAAAAAAAAATTAAATAAAATAAATAAACTTGCATATAATAACATAAATGCATAATGAATATTGTTTTTAACCTTTTGATTCTCCTCCTGTATGTTAACTCTGGAACTGGGCACTGCAGATTCACTGTTGCATGTTGGGAAAAGCAGTTTGAGAACATCCTCCAGCATATACTCTTTGGCTATCTGCCCATCGAAGTGATCCTTCATTCCATCAAAGTGTAGGTCAGTCTGAAGCTGAGACAGAAACCAAGCAGACAAATTAGAAATGTGAATGTTTAAAGATAGACTGCCATCTAGCGGTCATATTGAGATTTTGCATAGTAGTACATCAATTTTCAACCATATCTCTCAACACACAAAACTTTGAGAGTGGCATCCTTACCTTCACCACCACTGGACGAAGAGAAGAATTATAGAGCAACGAGAAGGTCATTAACTGAAAACACAACTGACACCTAAAGGGAAAACAGAGAAAACATGCATGGGTTTACAGATTATCAAGTTAATGATTGCTTAAAAAGATATATTCTATTATTTCGATAATGATTATGATTACAATTATGATAATCATTATTATTTTCCTTCAGCTTAGTTCCTGATTATCAGGGGTCACCACATCGGAATGAACCACCAACTACTCTGGCATATGTTTTTACGCAGTGGATGCCCGTCCATCAGCAACCCAGGACTGTGCTAGGAAATATTATTATTATTATTATTATTATTATTATTATTATTATTATTATTGTTATTATTATTATTATTATTATTATTATTATTATTATTAATAATAATAATAATAATAATAATAATAATAATAATAATAATAATAATAATAATAATAATAATAATAATAATAAAATATATTCCGGCATGTTAGAGTAAACAAAAATCAGATTTTAAAACATTCATAAAGATTTTTAAATTTTAAATGACAAAACAACAAGTACAATAATAATATTACTACTACTTCTACCACCACCACTACTACTACTATTACTACTACTACTACAATTAACAACAACAACAACAACAACAACAACAACAACAACAACAATAATAATAATAATAATAATAATAATAATAATAATGCAAAATCACTGAAGTTTAAATTAAATAAAGATCAGCAGTTTTCCATTCACAAAAACCCACTTATAAGCTTTATATAACTTATAAGCTTTATATATATATATATATATATATATATATATATATATATATATATATATATATATATATATATATATATATATAACAACAGACACATTATTTTATTTCCATCATGTTTGATAAAGTATGGGAAGGCTATTATGTTGATGTGTTTCTAACCTGGGTGAGGAGCTGCTGTCCTTTGTGCTGAACAGCGCAGCTTTAAGGACTTCACTGATAGCATGATTGATGTGTCTGATCACCTGATGAGAGACAACTGAACCCAGTCTCTCTCTGAAAAATACCTGTAGCTGAGAGAGAGAAAGACAGAGAGAAAGAGAGAGAGATTTTATAACAAACATTTATTGCAAAGCATTTTATTACAAACAAACAAACAAACAAACAAAAAACTATTACAATTCTTTAAAAATAAAACCTCAATATGTACGTATAGGTAAATACACATAAACACCTACAAAAACAGTTTAATCTAGATTTACAATATTATAAAATACTCTTTTTCACTGCAATCATGATGTGAAGATTAAATACTCCTCACATATTGGGCTTAAAACGTTTCCACTAGACCAGGGATGTCAAACTCAGTTCCTGGAGGGCCGCAGCCCTGCACAGTTTAGCTCCAGCCCTGCTCCAACACACTCACCTGGAGGTTTCAAACAAGCCTGAAGGACTCAATTAGTGTGATCAGCTGTGGTTAATTAGGGTTGGAACTAAACTAAGCAGAGCTGCGTCCCTCCAGGAACTGAGTTTGACACCCCAGCACTAGACCATTTGAATTTAAAAAAATCATTGAAAAATGAATTTGAAAATGAAAAATGAGCTTTGAAAAAATGTAAATATGTAATTACTCTGTTTTATCATATTGATAAAAATCATCAAAACATCTTCGTTAGAAATACCTTTGATCTTGAGAGAGAAAGAAAGATCAAAATTCAAGATCAAAAAATAAATTTAAAGATGAAGAGCATCAATAAAGCAGAGATCACGTTCAGCATCTGTTCAGTCTCCGTAAACAGATTGTGGCTCATCAACAACTTCATCAATACTGGTTTAACAGTAGACTTTCACATCTACCAGCAAGCATGCCAGTAACTCTCCTCCTTGAACAAGATTTTTTTTTTCTATGACGGAATTACCACTAGAGGGAGATAAAGTCCAAACTAAAACTTGCTGACAGCTACAGTTTATTTACTTTATTGTTTTAATTATATTTTGGATATATTGTCATTTTAACTAAGTCTAGTTGTTAGTTAGACATTGCACATGAGTTTCTGTATTTAATATTAAGGTTATTTTGTTAGTGCATGCTGTTGAGTCTTTGTAGTTTATAGTCACATTAACAGATCTCAGTCATTGCTTTTAGGTATATGCTTTTATATGTATGAAATAATATGTCTGTTTTAGACAATTTAATGTCACTATTCGGTGTAGTTTCTATTAAAAGCAGCTGAGCGCAATTGCATTAGACTATAAAAGTGACAAATAATTTTCAATCAGTATTGAGGTCGATAACTTTAAAAATAGCTTGTAAATTTCACAATTACTTACACACAAAAAGGAAAAAACTGTAAAACATACTTTAGAAATGATCAGTGTTCATTTGTGAATAAACATTTTCTTGCATAACTTGGCATCTTGAATTGATTTCCAATGTTGCAGTGCATTCTGGTATTGCCTTGTGAGAAATTCTTCCTCAAACATTAATTAAAACAATATGGATTTGAAGATGCCTCTTATATTCACCAAAATCAGAGTAAAAAAACACACACACGACCTAATGAAACTCTAACAAACAAACAAATAAATAAATAAATAAATAAATACAGGAATGTATTAATTAATAAATAAATTTACAAATAAATGCTTAAATAAATAAATAAATAAATAAATAAATAAATAAATAAATAAATAAATAAATAAATAAATAAATGCATGAATAAAAAAATAAAAATGCATGAATAAATAAATAAATGCATGAATAAATAAATATAAATGCATGTATAAATAAATAAACAAGTGAACAAACAAATAAATAAATCCATAAATAAATAAATGCATGAATAAATAAACAAACAAACAAATAGATAAATAAATGCATGAATAAATAAAGAAATGCATAAATAAATAAACAAATGCATGAGTAAATAAATAAATGCATGAATAAATAAAGAAATGCATGAATAAACAAGTAAATAAACAAATGCATGAATAAATAAATAAATGTATGAATAAATAAACAAACAAACAAACAAATAAATAAATGCATGGATAAATAAACAAACAAACAAATAGATAAATAAATGCATGAATAAATAAAAAATGCATGAATAAATAAATGCATGAATAAATAAACAAACAAACAAACAAATAAATAAATGCATGGATCAATAAATGAATGAATGAATGAATAAATGAATGAATGAATGAATATGTGAATAAATAGAGCATGAATAAATAAACAGACAAATACTAAATAAATAAATAAATAAATAAATAAATAAATAAATAAATAAATAAATAAATAAATAAATAAATAAGATTATTATTTAAAATAATAATCTTATTACTGTGTTGACAAAGTTTACATCTTGTGTAACAAGATCTTTCTTAAACCTCACTAAGATGCTGATCTGGTGCTCCGGAAACATTTATTATTTTGTTGATGTTAACAAAATAATGCTGGTTATAATTTCTGTGACACATTTTGCTTTGTACATTAACTTTATAGACATGCTAGTATGAATACATTAATCCACCAGAGAAACCATTCCATTGTACAGAAACAGACATAGCAAGTTGATAAATTAAAGTGTGATGACTTAGTTGCACCATTAGGGGACAGTCGAAGAAAAAAATAGCTCCACATACAGTGCACACACTGTAGTTCTGCAAACAAATGTCTCATGATGGTGAACACAAATACCAAAGACCACAATGGAAAGAGCAGTGAAGGCTTTAAAGTGATCTGCTTGTTTGTCAAGGCTCTTTTATCAACACTTGAAACTCAATAAACATGATCTGTCTCTTATTAGATCTCAATGTGCCCTCCAGCTGTTTACGAGACACTGAACTCAAGCCTTTTCTGCCATGACATATACAGTCTCTCTCTCTTTCCCTCTCAGAAACACACACTGCAATGCAATGAGAGCAGTGTTTCGCAGCTGTGTAGAGGCCTAATAAACATCACATGGGGAATAAATGTTTAGCCAAGCCTCCATCATCATCAGTAAATGGCAGCGTAGAGACCCAAGCAGCAATATTAAGACTGGAGAACTCTCCTCTGATCCGATTTAAAGGCATAATCGCTTATCAAAATAGCTAAAAGGCACCTAATAATGATTTCTGAGCTCATGGGTATTGAGAAGCAGAGATATTGCTTTATTTAATCCATCTCAGTGGATGGACAATGTTTTCTTACCTCAGTGGCGTAACTAGCTTTATCCTGGGGAGTTCTGACCAGGGCTGTGCGGTGGAGGAAAGCGGTCAGTGGTGTTGCAGAAGTAACCAGGACGTACACGTTTACGGTCGCATTTAATCCCTGATTGTCTGAATGGTTGTGTGTGATTGGCTGCCTCCTGTAGGATACAAATCACAATAGGGCTGTTGAAAACATTGCCTTTACAACATTTTTGGTAGACCATTTTTTTTATACTTGACATAACTCACCATGCATCATTAGTATTTTGGATTCCCTCTAGTGGAGATGTGGAAAAGGCGCAGGCTGAGGGGTTTATGGGTAATGTCGCTCCTGAGATTGAAAAACAGAGAGTGAGTACTGAGCCATATTGATGTTCTCAGAGGAAGACACACACACTGCACATGCATCGAGATGAAGACCAAAGATATTTGATGCAGACCTCCAGACATGTGTTGTTGATTGTCACAGCTTCTCACACATGCTGGTTTGTTCAGTCATAAATAAACTGGAGCTCTGTTCAAAAACACATCGAGCTGCCTTAATGCTAAACGTCTACATGCTGTTTTGGAATGTGCAATTAACATTTTTCTTGCTTCATCCACCATGCTAAAATGACTTTCAGTGTCACGGTAAATACTCAATTGCTTATGATAAAATCCATGAGAGTTTTAGTAAAACAATGTTTTTATTAAACAGCGAAAGAAAGTCTAAGGCACTTGAAAAATGTGGAAAAAATATTAAAAAGCCTTGGATAATGGATATTCCTTAAAACTGCCTACGTTTCACACTTGCCTTCATCAGGGCACCCAAGTGCTTGTCGAAGCACGTATAGATGCAGTTTTTTTAAGGATTCGCCATGTCAATAAACGCTTTTTAACATTTTTTCCCACATTTTTCAAGTGCCCTTGACTTTCTTTTGCTGTTTATTCTGATGAATCTCTTACCCAAAGAGCACCGATACATTAATTAAGCTACCCCTGATCACTTTTTGTTGGATTTTGAATAGATTTTTATTGTTTAAAGAAATCTCATTTATTTGACTAGAAAATAAAGTATAAAAAACTGTAATGTGAATACAGTTGAAGTCAGAATTGTTAGTCCCCCTATGTATTTTTCCCCATTTTCTGTTTAACGGAGAGCAGATTTTTTCAACACATTTCTAAACATGATAGTTTTAATAACTCATCTCTAATAACTGATTTATTTTATTTTTGTCATGATGACAGTAAATATTATTTTACTAGATATTTTCTTACACTTCTATACAGCTTAAAGTGACATTTAAAGGCTTAATTAGATTAATTAGGTTGACTAGGCAGGTTAGGGTAATTAGGCAAGTCATTTTATAATGATGGTTTGTTCTGTAGACTATCAGAAAAAATATACCTTAAATGGACTAACAGTTTTGTCCTTAAAATGGTGTTTAAAAAATTAAACTCCATTTATTCTAGCCGGAAAAAAAAAAAGACTTTCTCCAGAAAAAAAAAATATTATCAGACATACTGTGAAAATTCCTTGCTCTGTAAAACATCATTTAGGAAAAAGTAAAAAAAAAAAATGAAAGGTGGCTAATAATTCTGAATTTACTATATATATATATATATATATATATATATATATATATATATATATATATATATATATATATATATACATGCATACACACATATACACACACACACATTCATAAATCATACTAAAATGCTGACTTGGTGCTCCTGTAGCACTGTTTATTTATTTATTTGTTTATTTGTATCACCATAATTATCATTAATGTCAAACACTGTTGTGTTATTTAAGCCTTTTTTGCAAACGTCCATACATTTTGCAGGAATCTTTGATGAATGCAAAGTTCAAAAACATGCAAGCATCAAACACATTTTACAAAAGTTATTATAAACATAGAAAGTGGATTAAATGCACGTAACTTTCCCACACATAATGTATCATTAATTTTACAAAATGTGGGAAAAAAACTATACATGGGTAAAAATAATTTTACTGTCACCTAGCCTTAATATTTATATAAAATTGAAAAAAGTAAATAAATCAGTCCTTAACCCAAACTTTAAATCAGGGGAGCCAAAATCCAAATATCACTGAGAGCGGCAGGAGGAAGGTAAATACTCCAAAATGTATTACATTACAATTTTATCATGGGTAGTTTCCATTTTTTTTTTTGTAATATTTCAAAATAAATAGAAAAACGTTGCTTTAAATTGCATTAACTAATGCAGTATAACTTTTTAAATGCAGTACAAACATAAACAATCACTTTAACACACTGGAGTTCAATGCTAAATCCACTAGTCAAGCAGAATCTGCCTTTAAAAATCTCTGCTTAGTCGGGTGACAAATTTATTTACATCATTTAATTGAAATATTTAATTTCAGTTAGCTTTTAACAATAAAACAACACACAAACAAACAGGGGCTTACATTAAGTTTGAATTGACAATCGCGAAACCATCCCCCTCATTCTCCCTCTCTTCTCAGATGGAATGGCGGGCCAAATCAAACGTCACCGCAGGCCCTAGTTTGGCCTTCTCTGATATAAATGATTACGTATGTGTGTATGTATGCACTTTAGAATGCACTTTATTTTTAAGAGCCACAAGCAACACAATATGACATAATAAACAGCAACTGATAAAAGCTGCTTCATGAAGTTTTTCTCCAAAATGACTATCCTTTATTAATGTCCTATGTAAATTACAGCTCACCTAATTCAACGCCAATAGATTCCAACGTGTGCGCAGTGTGTACAAACAAGTACTTTCTAGATATAATCAGAATTAGTAAGTGAGTGAGTGATCTGGCACTGCTATGCGAATGAAAATGACTTCCCAGATTAGTAGTTATAATGTCATAAATGATCAGAAACACACACACACACACTCTTTAGCCCCAGAGAAAGCATTTCACCACACCCCACAACTCAAGCAATCCTTAATAGTCTTAAACATGTCTACAATCTCCAATCCACCCACACACCACACCAGCCTTGGGCCCCATTTCAAACGAAACACTTGGAAAAACATCAGGGTCTCCGTAACCCGCTCTTCAGCCAAAGTCCCGGTCACTCCCAACCCAAATGTGTGAGCTATGCAGAGTTTACATTCAACTTGGTCACTGACCCGTCCGTGTCATGTGTATATTTATGCACCCTACAGTTCGCCTGCCTTCAGATACGACTATGAAGAAGACTCAACCATGCCCAAGCCAAAACCCCAAACACCAGGACTCAATCGTTCGTGTTTCTGTGGGCGTTCGGCCAGCAGGAAGGACAATATTGTTTCAGAGCAAGAGACAAAGCCTTCTTTTCTGAAGCTGGGCGGTCTTGATGCTGCAGGGGCAGCGGGTGAAAAATCGGTCATTATCGTCACTAAACGTAAGCATTGTTATCCTCTTTCTTTGAGGTCTTTTAGAATGATGATAATTGGCTTAAAGTAAATTAAAAATAAGCATGATCAAGTTCAAAGAGCTCTCTTAATTCACCGTCCTCTTGATGTACACAGAAAAGCTACTTTATAAAGAGAGATCAAGCTCATGTGGCTGTTATTAAATGGCATTTCTGATGTGCTCTTAGCTTTTAATATTGCTTGCAGCAGAGAGTTACTCGCGGTAAATATCACCCTTGACACTGACCTTTATAAGTAATTACAGAGGCAACCTTAAAACACTCCAATACACACCTGATAGAAGACATGTGCACATGCGTGCGAGCACACATACACAGATGTCAGTTAAATTGAGAATGGTCTTTGTTTTGCCAACCGATTTAAATGCAGATGACTTGTGATATAACAAAGCAGGAGGAAAAAGTTTCTTCTAATGAAAAAGCTTAAGTCATCTAATCAAAGCCAATAGGGGTCCTCATAATTAGTTTTGAAGCCACTATTGTTGTTGTTAATTAAAACCGAATCCATTTTAAAGTGTTTTTGGTAATGTATGCAAGTTAAATATTAGATTAAATAAGAAAAAACGAGAAATTAACTTTTACAAATGTTTGCAACCAACCTAAATGAATTTAAATAGAAGAATCAAGCACAAATTAAGCATGAATAAGTTAAAATTAAATTAAATTAAATTAAATTAAATTAAATTAAATTAAATTAAATTAAATTAAATTAAATTAAATTAAATTAAAAATTAAATTAAATTAAATTAAATTAAATTAAATTAAATTAAATTAAATTAAATTAAATTAAATTAAATTAAATTAAATTAAATTAAATTAAATTCTAAATAAAATGAAAAGAAATGAAATGAAATTTTTTTAAATAACATATTTGGGCCAATTACTAAGAATTAAAATGACACAAAGATAAGTCAAATAAAATGATGAAATCAAAATGATGAAATCAACCCTTTTGTCAAATTAATTTGAATTCAATTAAAAAAACTGTGAGTTTCTTATTGTTCTTATTGATTATCATATCTTATTGTTTCAGATGACAACATAATGTACATAAAAAATAGACTATTCATGGTGTATGCGCTATTTTTAAAAATAAATGTATTATATATGTTTGGTAAGAACATTTCATAAATTAACAAGAAAAAATGTTTAATCCCCTATGTTGTGATGACTATGTTGTAACAATGCATTGTGCAATTACTTTTCTACTAATTCTGTCTTAAACAAGGATGTCTTGTTAAAATTAAAATTAATTTTAATAATATTTATTTACCATTGTCATGGCTCCAAATATACATTGTAAAATATTCCTGCTTACCTGGCAACTTGCTGTTCGTCAAAAACCGGCAGACTCCGCCCATGTCCAGAAACGCTCCGGCAAAAGCTGGTATTATGTTAACCTGTGGGAAGATTTGACCCCAGAGGGATCAGAGGTCAGGGTTTAACCAAGACCACCATGACGGATTGTTCAGAAAACATTTAAAAGTGTCATTCTAATGCCTTAAGATCTCATGAGATGACTGATGGCTTATGAGCGAGTGATTTAATAACTGAGACAGTAAGTAGCAGTTGTTCTTGGATCACATCCAGAGCTAGAAGTGACCCAGGAGACTCTCAGCAGCTGGGATATGTTGATCATTACATGAGCATTACTATATACAGGTTTCAGAAGAATCTGAAGTGAAACACAAGGATTCAGCCTTATTAAAGCCGGCATTTAGAAAATGAGTAGTCAAGGATGCAGGAATGTTTTACAGCATCCTGGACTGAATCAACATTCCCTTTGAATCTCTGGATTGGATCTTATTTCACATGCATTTAAAACCAAAGTATTTGGCATAAGCACTTGGCTTTTGTGTTTCCTTTTCTTTCTCAGTTTCAGAACATATTTTTTGAATGATTGTGCATTTGATTGAATCATAAACAGGAGTCTCCTGGATGTGATTTGGATTTGCTTGGTGGTCTTACCCTCTGGTGGTGCTGTGGATGGGCGAAGTTGATTTTACGCAGACAACTCTTTTCAGAGCCTTTTAAGCATATCAAGACAGACCAGTCTCTTCCATCTGTGTTCAAGAGAGAGAATATATTTAGCACGCAATGAAGAATTAAAGCGAGAAAAAAAAAAAGATGGCAAGATCAGCACTGACTGTATGCTGATGACAGTTTGCCAAAAACAGATGATCAAGGCGGTTACATACAAACACACACGATTTTCTTGGTAATTCAAATGAGACCACTTCTGTGTGTTCATTATAATTGCTACTAGTTTAATCCATACTCTATTCCTAAACAACATTTTATATTGTATATGCATTAAGGCTCTCAAAAGGTGTGGTTCGTACACTGTAAAACCTAAAAAGTTAAGGTAACTCAAACCATTTGAGGAAACTGATTGCAACAAACCATTTAAGTTCAAAAACTAATCTTAATGAGTACTGTGATCTTAATCCATCCAGTAAACAAAGCAATTTGAGCACAATAAAACCCAATAAATGAAGAGAACTCAAACCAACTGAGTACTGTAAAACCCAATAAGTTAAGGCAACTCAAATCGTTCGAGGAAACCGAATGCTACAAACCATTTGAGTAAAACTAATCTATATGAGTACTGTGAACTTACTACATTTAATTTGAAGTAATTAGATATTTAATTAACTCATTACCTACACTGTAAAAAGTTATTCGTTACTTAAAGCGAGTGAACCAATTGCCTTAAAAGCAACAAGTTGACTATACAAAAATAAACACATTGTAACTTGGAACTGTCAAATTGACTGAATTTTTATAATTATGCTAATTGTACTCACTTTTTTTTAAAGTCAACTAATCCCTTTTTACAGTGTCAGACTATTTTAGCACGTCTGTTTTCAGATAATTACTGTAATTACCACAATATTAAATATTTGGTGCATCATTAATTCTATTGAATCTACACTGCTAGTCTGTATTGAACTTAGAAGATGGAGTCTGGAAGAGCCGTCATATTTTAGGTACTGTCAATTTGCTGGATATACAGAAAAGCTGGGGGGAAAAAACAAATATAATAAAAGTGTATTGGAAGTGATTAGTTTGATTTTATTTTTTAAAAAGTGAGTACAATTTGCATAGTTATAAAAATTCAGTCAACTTGACAGCTCCAAGTTACAATGGGTTTACTTACTTTATTGTTTTAAAGTCAACTTGTTGCTTTTAAAGAAATGGTTTACTCGTATTAAGTAAACAATTACTTTTTTCAGTGTT